TTACTAAACTACCATGTGATCTCCACTGTATTACCCATTCCAGACCTTCCTAGATATCTCCTCTCAAGAGAATTACCAACAGTGTACAAAAAGCTGAGCCAGAATCTACAGCCCTCCAACCCCACATATGACAGATAGGACTCCTAGGTCCTCAGCTAGTGGACTCTATTCTACAACTAGCCCTTAGTGGGGAAGGCAGGTGACTTTTAACCCATGCTCCTCCTCTTCCCCATGTGCAAGCAGGTCCATGCACATATATGAACATGTGTACACAGAAATACACATGCACATTTTGCTGCCTGACTTGGGACTATGAGGGGAGATAGTAGAGGCAGGGCCAAAAAATATAAGTAACTATAGAAACTGCAGCCCTAGGAACATGGTTGGGAGGCAAATGGACAATACTGTTGGCTCAAAATCCTGAAAGAAGAAAGGAGTCAACAAATTGGAGGGGGTGAGGAGCATGAAGGTGGGCAGCAAGGGACACCAAACAGGAAATCAGCTTAGTCTAAAAGGCCTAGCTTGGAGAAAAAAGTGGAGGAGAGGCTAGTGGCATGGTCTCCAGCCAGCCCTTTACCAGGCTGTAGCCACTGTTACAGCTTTCTCCTGCATAAAATAAATAGGCATTACCTAAGAGTCTGTCTTGTCAACTCCTCTCTTTCTCTCTGTTGTTGTTGTTGTTGTTAAGTGCCATCAAGTCAGTTACGACTCATAGCGACCCTGCATAGGATTTCCAAGGAGCAGCTGGTGGGTTTGAACCACTGATTTTGTGGTTTGAAGTCCAATGCTGATCCTACAGCGCCACACCAGGAGTCCCATCTGTTGTTAGTGTTTGTTTGTTGTTAGGTGCCATCGAGTCAGCACCGACCCATAGCGACACTGCCCAGTCCTGGGCCAACCTCACTACTGTTGCCAAGCTTGAGTCCATCAATGCTGCCACTTGGCTAATCCATCTCATTGGGAGTCTTCCTCTTTTTCTCTGATCCTCCACCTTACCAAACATGATATCCTTTTCCAGCGACTGGTCCATCCTGACAATATGTCCAATGTATGAGAGACAAAGTTTGGCCATCTTGGCCTCCAGGGAGCACTCTGGCTGTACTTCTTCCAAAACAGATGTATTGGTTCTTTTCGCAGCCCATGGCACTTTCAATATTCTCCTCCAACACCATAACTCAAAAGCATCATTTCTATGGTCTTCCTTATTCACTGTCCTGGTTTCACATGCATATGAGGTTATTGAAAATACCATGGCTTGGGTCAGGTGCACCTTAGTCCTCAAGCTGACATCTTTGCTCTTCAACGCTTTAAAAAGGTCTTGTGAAACAGATTTGCCTAATGCAATACGTCGTTTGATTTCTTGAATGCTGCTTCTATGAGTGTTGATAGTTGATCCAATAAGAATCCTTGGATCTCTCTCTGTAGATGCTCCTAAATCAACAACTCTAATCCTGGCCTCTTGTGACATCTAGGTATAAAAGGTCATGCCTATTGGGTGACTTGCTAGCATCTCAAATTAAGAATGTCCAAAATGGAATTAATCAACTTTTAGATTACTCATCCCACCAAACCTCCTCATATGTTATCTATTTCTATTCAGGGCATCACTATAGTCCCAATTATCTATAGCCTAGTTTCCAAAATATGGGAATGGGAATATGAGCGGGAGCAACAGCAGCAGTACCAGCAGCAGTACCATCACCAACACCTGAGAGCTTGTTAGAAATGCAGAATTTCAGGCCCCAGTCCAAACCTACTAAATTAGAATCTACATTTCAACAAGATTTCTTAGGTGACTCCTATGCACATTAAAGCTTGAAAATAGCATATCCAAGATACAGTCTCCCTAGCACTACAAACCCTCAAGGATTCTGCCCTATCTCGTCTCACACCCCAGTTTTAGGCCATTTTCCTATCATGTCTTCCTTGAACAACATCAGAGATTCTAGACATTGCCCACTATACCTCTTCCTGTATTGTTGTTAAGTGTCATCGAGTCAGTTCCGACTCATAGCAACCCTGTATAGGGTTTCCAAGGAGCAGCTTGGAACCTTGTGGTTCAAACCGACTTTGCAGTCCAGTGCATTAACCCACAGTGCTACACCAGGATTTACGTTGTAAACTCTTCCCTCCTCAAAAACTTCTACTGGCTCCTTGTTGCCTATTACATCCCCCAGCCTAGTAGTTAGTAATAGTAATAACCCTTATTACATGATTATTATGTTCAAGGCAGTCTACTATTTTACATGTGTTAATTCATTTAATCCATCTAACAACCCAATGAGATAAGTATTGCTATATCTTTATTTTACATATGGAAAAATTGAGGCAGGAGTAGTTTTTGTAAATTTTCCCAATAAAGCACAGGAAGTGGCACAGTGGGGCCACTGACAGTTCAATGGTAGATTTCTTGCCTTAACAACAACAACAACAACAACAACGCAGGACTCAGTTTCAATCCTTGGACATATAGCAACCACCCATCTAACTACATGTTGCTATAATGCTGAAAAGGTTTCAGTGAAGCTTACAGACTAAACCAGATTAGGCAGGAAGGCTTGGTAATCTACTTCTGAAAATGAATCAACGAAAATTATCCAGACCCTATCCAGAGAAGCAGCGACACCAGAGATGGCGGCAAAGATGAGGACTTGGAGAGAAGGAGCAGCTGGGGACTCTGGACTCATGGAAAGGGAGGGATCCGGTGCTGGCGGCCAGGAGGCAGGCTTGCAGAATGTGCCCTTTGGTTGTTTATTATATATTCCTGAGTGTTTTTGTGTACATCCTCCCCCCAAAACAAACAAACAAACAAAAAACAGAGGGAATGGAAGGAAATACTGTTGAATAATGATGCACAGAGGAGAGTATAATCATTGCAATGAAACGATGGTGTAAAAGCTGATGTTCTCCCATGTAAACTATCACTCAGTTCACAGTAAAAAAAAAAAAAAAAACCTAATTTCAAAACCACCTAACTAAAAAGATTGCTGTGAAGTTTAGGTAATTTGCATAGGATATGTAGCACAATCCCTGGCAAATAGCAGGTACTCAAAGATTGATGGCAATCATGTTCAAATATTACCTATCCTTTGAAACCCTCTCAAATATGAGGGATCTTTTCAAAAAATAATGGAAAAACATGTATTGAGAAATAAAATATGCAAGAATTTCAAAATAGTTTGCACCAAAATAAATAATAAACTGGACTGCAAACTCAGCTTGAAACATAAGGTCAGCGGTTCAAACTCACCAACCGCTCCTGCAAACCCTATACAGGGTTGCTATGAGACTGAACTGACTCAACAGCACTTAACAACAACAACTTGTATAACATGTCTGAACAAGATCTAGTTTGAGGCATTAAGAAAGATAAGGCAACCATTTGAAAAGAGCCCCTATCAGAGCAACATGAATTGTTAAAATTGAAGAACAATCATCAAATTTATGATGAAGCATGGGTGGAAGAATGGTTAAAACATTCACAAAAAGTTTATGGGTACAATGTTCCCAAAGAAATCAGCAGTTTACAAATGGATAATTTGGTTTAAGAAGGGGCTTCTGTTGTTGCTGTTGTGTTGTAGAGTCAGTTCTGACTCATAGTGATCCTATATAGGGTTTCCAAAGAAAGGCTGGTGGCTTTGAACCACTGGCCTTCCACTTAGTTGTCAAGTACTTATTCTACAGAGCCACTCCCTAAAAGAGTGCCTAGACTACAGTGGATGCTCAACAAATATCTGTTGAATGAATGAAAAGATAAACAAAGAGAGCTAGTAAGCAGCAGAACTAGGACTACAATCAAATTCACCTGCCTCTCAGTTTGGTTCTCTACAATGTTGAGTAGCCAATTTAAAACAAATGGAAAGGGAAATATCTTCATTAAGAAACTACTATACAAACACGGCTCTAGCAGCGTAGTGGTTACGAATCGGGCTGCTAACCTCAATGTCGGCAGTTCGAAACTACCAGCAAACAGCAGGAGAAAGATGAGGCTTTCAGCTCCTGTAAAGATTTACAGCCTCAAAATCCTGTGCAGGGTCACTATGAGTTGGAACTGACCCCCATGTTACTTAACAACAGCCCAGGATCAGGCAGTGTTTCGTTCTGCTGTGCATAAGGTCGCTATGGGTAGGTACCAACCTAATGGCACATAACAACAACTATATAAACACTTTTGGGGAGGAGAGTTGCCGGGGCATCATGCTGAGTTGATCACACTCCCTTGTTCATGGCACATCATGACGTATCTCTGATTGTACTACGTATTAGACACTTTACATTAAGTAATTTGATCTTCCGAAAGCATCTCTGAAATAGGTATTTATTCATACTTCCATTTTACAGGTGAATAAACACCCTCCATTAAATGACTTGCCCAAATTCACACAAGCGGCATAGTGACTGATACTTGCGCAGATCTAACACCAACGCCTGTAATCTTTACATTGGTGCATGCTTTGAGATAGAAGCAAAGGGTATCTTGCAGAGCAAAGAACGGAAATGCGACAGAAAACGCAAAGATTATATCTAAGTTTACTGGGGTCAAGGAACAAGTCAAGAATCAAATTACAAGCAGCAAAACGTTAACATCCCCGGAAAGCAATCTCTCGTTAGTTCTAGAACAATCTCTCGTTAGTTCTACTCCAACAAAGGCAAAGGAATAGGTCTTCATAAAATGAAGAGGCAGTGGAAGAATAGATATTTTAGAAATCACTAAAATTCAGTCTTTAACAGAATGTAGGGATCGAAGCCAAGCCCTGAAAGTATAGGAAAAGAAAAAGAATAAAACTTTCCCAAGAAAACGTGGTACGTAAGAGGACAGTAGGAGGGAACTAGATAAAAGAACAGGTGCAGCATTGGGGCTGGTCCTGGCATCACGTACTGGAAAGGCTTGCTGGAGGAAAGGATCCCGACTCTACTCAGGCAGCGAGCCCGTCACCCGACAACCTTAGGGGGCGCTCTGCCTCACCCTCAGTCCCTTTTGTCACAGAACCCAAGCTCACCAGGGGCCTGGGTGATGCTGCCCCCCCATCTCCTGCAGACTCGGTTGCTTCCGCCATCTTAATCCTCCTTCTCCAGGGTCGCTCCCACAGGCCTTTGCGGAACCTGAAACGTGGAGGCAGCGGACGGTGAGCGCGTCATCGCGCAACAATCACGTCATCGAAAGGCGCCTCGTAACAGCTGCCCTTCCGCTGTCACTTGCCCTTTGGGGTGGAGAGGGAGAAATCTCGCCACGCGTCGCCTCGCTTATTCAGAACCACGGGTCCCACTAGACACGCTCTCCGATTCTCAGATCGGTGCGTAGGTCTGCGAACCCCTTTTTACCCTCTTAACCCCATGGTCTACACCCACCCCTTTCCGGCTATCAGGAGGTGGCTGAACGCCTCTGCCCCCAGCACAGCGCCTCTCAGAAAAAGTCTCCTCCTCCCCCCACCCCCAACTGCAGAGAAACTTCAAGTTTGGGTGTTCTTGAATGAAATGATGAGTCCCTCCCTACTTGCTTTCCCCGCCCCTCTCTTGCTGATTTCCTTCCCGCTTCCCACTTTCCTGACTCATAGAAACCTGCTTACTGGCTCCAGAGAACCTTAATGTCTCCATGGTTAAACCCTCGGCTGCCAACTCGAAAGATCCGCGTTGAAAACCATCAGCGGTTCAATGAGCGGCTTCAGCCTCGAAAAGTCAATGAGACAGTTCTACTCTGCCCTATAGTCTCTTGAGTCGGAATTCCCTCCATGGCATTGGGTTTGGTTTGCTTATACTCGTACTTACTCTATACCAACCACGGAAATACCTTTTCTCCCTCATCCCTTTTAAACAGGAGGAAAGAAGCTCCATACACATTGGCCAAAATTTCAATCCCCTCCAACTTTCAAAATAGCTAGATGATTTTACATAAGTGCTGAAAATGTTTACAATCTAAAGGAAGATAGTTTTTGTAAAACTAAAAAAACAAAAAGCCATACATGTCCCAAACTCTTTTCCGTACCTCATCCTTAGGCTTCCTTGGTGTTTCTGGCACAAGATTAGCTGGGCCCTAGGCTAAAATGAGGTCAGGCGATACAGCCATTGTTGACGCAGTCAGCATTCAGCATACCTGGGAGCCATTTCAGGGTGTAAACACTAGTTTTCCCGCTTTTAACAAACACGGTAAAAAATGAGTGTGAAATAGTGCTTTATATTTTTGGATAAGCAATCCAGTAAACTACCTAAGTAGTAAATTTAAGAAGAATGTGGAAGGACATGGACAAGCTCCTAAATACTATTCATCGAAATCCCTGTGCTAATGCTGTTTTGCTTTGTTATTTTTTTATAAATCTATTTAACTATAAGAGAATACAATGTGCAACTCAATGAAAATAAAATGGAAAGTTTCAAAGACATGGACACTTTCCTAGGGAAAGAAATAAACTGAATTGAAATGGAAAATCACATCAGAAAAATCCCTTAGTAAAACTGAAAATCTGGATCTCCATAAACATACTATGATGTAAACACTGAGTCTTTTGTACATCTGTTGTTGGTGGTGGTGGTTGTATGCCACTGAATTGGTTCTGATTCATAGTGAACCTGTGTAGGATTTCTGTGGCTATAAACCTTTATGGTAGCAGAAAGCGTCATCTTTCTCCCATTGAGCAACAGGTAGATTCAAATTCCTGACCTTGCAGTTTGTATCCCAGCTTGTAATGGCACTGTCAAGTCAGTTCAGACTTATAGTGACCCTATGCACAATAGAATGAAACCTGCCCAGTCCTGCACCATCCTCACAATTTTACGTTCGAGATCATTGTTGCTGCTACTGTGTCAATCCATCACAATGCTGGTCTTCCTCTAATTCTATGACCCTTCACTTTACCAAGCATAAAGTCCTACCTGACATGTCCAAAGTACAAGAGACAAAGTCTCACTATCCTGGCTTCTTAAGAAACATTTTGGCTGTCCTTCTTCCAAGACAGATTTATTTGTTTGTTCTTCTGACAGTCCATGGTACTTTTAATATTCTTCTCCAATACCGTAATTCAAATGTATCAATTCATCCTGGTGTTGGTGTTGGTGGTGTGCCGTGAAGTCGGTTCCAACTCAGAGCAACCCTGCATAGGGTTTCCAAGGCTGTAAATCTTTACGGGAGTAGAAAGCCTCATCTTTCTCCTGGTAGTTTCGAACTGCTGACCTTAAGGTTAGAAGCCTGACTCTTAACCACTATGCTACCAGAACTCCTTCTTGCTTATTCATTGTCCAACTTTCACATGTATATGAGGCTATTGAAAATACCATGGCTTGGGTCAGGTGCACATTAGTCCTCAAACTACACAACTATGCTCTTTAATACTTTAAACAGGTCCTTTGCAGCAGATTTGCCTAGTGCAATATGTCTGTATTTTTTTATTGCTGCTTCCATTAGTGTTGATTGTAGATCCAAGCAAAATGAGTCTTTGACAACTTCAGTCTTTTCTCCTTTTTTCAAAAATCCAGTTGTGAAGATTGTTTTCTTTACATTGAAATAAAGTCCATACTGAAGACTGTAGTCTGATCTTCATCAGTATTTCAAGTCCTCTTCACTTTCCACAAGCAAGGTTGTGTCATCTGCATGTCACAGATTGCTAATGACTCTTCCTTCAATCCTTATGCCATGTTCTTCGTATAATCACTCTTCTCAGAATATTTACTCAGCATACAGATTGAATAAATATGGTGAAAAGATACAACCCTGACACACACCTTTCCTGATTTTAAGCCATTCAGTGTCCCCTTGTTCTGTTGGAACAACTGCCTCTTGATCTATGTATAGGTTCCTCATGAAAACAGCAAGTGTTCTGAAATAGTCATTATTGGAAATGTCCACAGTTTGTTTTGATCCGAAGAGTTAAATGTCTTTGCATAGTCAATAAAGAACAAGTAGCGTTTTTCTTCAGGCTGCGAATCTCACGGTCAACAGTTCAAAACTACCAGCTATTCTGTGGGAGAAAGATAAAGCTTTCTGCTCCCATATAGATTGTAAAGGTTTACAGTCTTGGAAACCCTGTAGTGGGTCGCTATGAGTCAGAAACAACTCCATGGCACACAACCACCACCACCAAGCATTTTTCTGGTATTCTCTGTTTTCAGCTAATTTCCATCTGACAAGGAGCTCTGGTAGTGTAGTGTTTACAAATCAGGCTGCTAACCTCAAGGTTGGCAGTTCGAAACTATCAGCTGTTCTGCGGGAGAAAGATGAGGCTTTCTGCTCCCATAAAGATTTGCAGCCTTGGAAACCCTGTGTAGGGTCACTATGAGTCAGAACCGACTCCACGGTGGTACTTAACAACAACAATCAGCAACAATAGCCCTCATTTCACTTTTTTTTTTTTTGAATCCAGCTTGAATTTCTTACAGCTCCCTGTTGATGTACTGCTGTGACCATTTGTTATCTTCACCAAAATTTTACATGCATGGGATACTATTGATATTGTTCCATTATTTCTGCATTACATTGGTTCACTTTTCTTTGAAATGGGCACAAACATGAATGAATGTCTTCCAATCGGTTGGGCCTGGATGCTGTGTTCCAAATTTCTTGGCATAAATGAATGAGCGCCTCCAGCACTGCATCAATTCGTTGAAATATTACCATTTGCATTTTGTCAGTTCCTGGAACCTTGTTTTTTGTCAATGCCTTTAGTACAGCTAGTATTTCTTCCTTCAATACCAATGGTTCTTGATCATATGGTTCTTCTAGGACCATGAAAAAGTAGATCTTAGCTCCTCAGAAGGATTGGCTCCCCCTCTCCCTGAAGACATTGATATTGTTGTTGTTGTTGTTAAGTGCTGTCAAATCATTTGTGACTCACAGAAACTCTGTATAGGGTTTCCAGGGAGCAGCTGGTGGGTTTGAACCACCGACTTTGTGGTTAGCAGTCCAGTACTTATCCATCAGTGCCACACCAGGACACGTCTATTACCTAGTCCACCTCCAAAATTAGTTATCTTTCCCTAGCTAGAGCCCTTGCAGTAACTCAAGAGGATAAGCACTGGACTGCAAATCATAAGTTCTTCAGTTCAAGTCCACAAGCCGCTCCACGAGAGAAAGATAAGGCTTTCTGCTCCTGCAACAGTTTGCAGCCTCAGAAACCCTATACAGGGTTGTTATGAGTCAGAACTGACTAGACAGCACTTAACAATAGCCGGAGCCCAAATATTCCAAAACACATAATTGTGTTCATAAGGAAACTATGCACAGACCAAAAAAGCAATCATTAAAATCAGGAAAGGTGTTATTACCATAGTTACTCAATTGTTGCGGCAGTGCGAGTCAGAAAGAACTCAAATCAGAAAACTTAAAGAGCAAAGTTTGTTGCCGTGGGCCAGAGTGTCAGCTCAAGCTCAAATCACTCTGACCCCCAAGTGAGGAGGGGAACAGGGTTTTATACAAGAAACACAGAGCAGTTAGAATACACAGACTCCTCAGCTGGGGTGGTAAATTCCAGCAGACCCTTATCCTGTAAGTGGGCGTAAACCCACCAATAAAACCTTATCTTGATTGTTTGGCTGGGCTAAGTTTTATCCTGTTTATTCAGATGTCCTTGGGTCATTCTGGCCTTCAAGATTTTTCTGTTAGAAGTTTATTTATTATTTTTCCATAGGGTGAGGTGGGGGGAGATGGGGGAGCAGGGTGAACTATGCCATAGTATTTCAAATGGAAAACGGGGGCTGTTATACTATAATATTTCAAATGGGGGCTATTAGTTATACTATAACATTTCCCCCTCTAGTTGTACATTAGCGTAAATCCATGAGCAATTTATATCATCTGCTTGTTCTAGGCATTCATGTGGCTGAGAGAAAACGAGTAGTTTAATAGATTCTATTCAGGACTTTTGGATACCCTCCCGAAAGGAAAAACAAATCAGATATATTTATTACACTCTGAGCTAAATAGACCCAATGTTTTCATCCTGTTGAAAGGAAAAATGTCTTATGAGAGTCCCACTGTTTCCAAGTTTTGAGTCTGGTTAATTTGACCGCTGACAGGGTGCCTATAAGTACTTCCCAGGGTCCAGTCCACTTTTTTTTTTTTTTTTTTTTTTTAACTGGTTTTCAGGTCCGT